AGAGAGAGAGAGAGAGAGAGAGAGAGAGAGAGAGAGAGAGAGAGAGAGAGAGAGAGAGAGAGAGAGAGAGAGAGAGAGAGAGAGAGAGAACACGCTTGCATCGAGGGCGAATGGAGGGTCGGTGTCCAGATGAGGAGATTGCTATGACCTCTCTCTCACCGTGATGCTTTTATCGTCCATCGATTTTAATCCAACGGACATAGAAAGCAGAACTGAAACTGATCACAACAGCGTCTGTTAACAAGGCATCAGAGAGTGGGTACTGAGTAGCGACCCCTCCCTTTCCTTGGTTTTGACTTTTTCGTACCCAGCGAAAGCTTGGTACAATACAAAACTGTTAACCGACTATATTTATCCCTACAATACGTCACTATCGAGAGAACTGCGTGATGACATACTGTAGGCACAAAGGGAGAACCGGATGGAAAATGCGGGTAGTGTTGGACTGTTTCATTTTCCCGACTGACTCATCAGTAGGCTCGACTCTCAACTGTCCGTAGAACCCTGTATTTTGTTGCAAAAAATGGCCCGACATAGGTGGAAAATTAAAAAAGGATGAAAGGCGGAGGGCTGTGACAGAGTGTTTTGTCTAGCTTTTGCTGACTCAAGCTTAGGCGTTTTGGGTCCATAGTCGTTAGGATTTAGGGTTTAGGGTTTTAGGAAGGACTCGTGCTGGTGCTATGTTTGGGTGCCCTGCTATGGGGTACTGCTATTTACCACACTGTATAAGGTTTAGGGTTTTTAGGGGGAGTCGTGCTGGTGCTATGCTTTAGGCGTTAGCTCTTAAGCTTTTATGTTTGAGGGGAAGCCACACCGGTTTGTCCCTCTGGACTGAAGCGTAGGATTGATGGGCTTCCCCTAAACCCTTAACCCTGCAGCAAGCACCTGCGGGGCTCCTCCTAAACCCTGGACCGGAAAGCATAGCACTATTAGGCCTCCGTTTAACCCCTAAACCCTAAAGCGTAACACCAGTTAGGCTCACGCTAAACCCTGAACCCTAATGCACAGCACCAGTTGGGCTCCCCTTAAACCCTGAACCCTGGAGCATATGATCAGTGGGGCTTCCCCTAAACCCATTGCCAACTGGTGCTATGCTTTATTTTGATCTGCATTCAATCTGTCTGGTGTGAGTATATACCCTATCCACTCTTGTACAAATTGCGTCCGAAATTCAGTATTCAATCTGTCTCGTGTGAGTATATGTCCTTGTCAACTCTTTCACACACAAATGGTTAACAGGTATCGACAAATTGAAATGTTGGTAAAATTTCATGAAAGTGCACTTTTGACTTGCTGTTTTATATGTTTTTAATTTTTTTTTTTTTTTTCGTTTTTTTTTTTTACAATATGTTAGTAAGAAGTGCACTCTACAGATTGGTGTAAAGTATGGTTAAAATGACCCTTTGGTTTTCTTATTGGGGGGTCGGTTAACCTTCTCTCATTTGCCCCCAATAATTTGGACCCTTTCTGGACCCCCCCTTTTCCCGAAGGGCAGCTGTTCTCTTTTCTTTTTCCCCCTTTTTGTTTCTCGTTTTTTGTCGTTCTTCCCTTTTCTTGTGCTTGCAATTTGTGCCATTTCCGGATTGGTTTGTGCCCTTGTTTTGTGCAAGGGAGATGCTAGTGTTGTGATGTGACTCATTTTTGGATGGATGTCCAACTGGGATATTGCATAGGTTCTGAAACCATGATTTTTTTATTTTTATGATTATATGATTTATAATTTATTATTTATTTTAGTTATTTTTCTAATTCAACCAAGCAGAGAGTGCGATGCACCAAGATTATATACCGTCCAAATAAGAGCAATACAATGAACTTGAATGTCATTGTCGCCACTCTCTGGTCACACCAACACTGTATCCGATGTCGCACTTACTGTCCGGTGCCCAGCTCCCAGCGCCCAGCCTATCCTACTCAGCCTATCTAACCTATCTACGTTCTCACAACTGGATCACTCTGAAGCTGAAGTCCAAGACCAATGTACGTGACGTCAACACCAATGCCGATCACCAGCATACACCAAGTACGTTCTCTCTCCTCTCGTCATCACCTCTCGTCTCCCCACAGCATGCCCCTACTACCAGAAGACCACCTTTGCCATCACCTGCCTTGTGCCCCCGCAGCAGCCCGGCTATGGCTGCTGTGCGCCCGCTGCCCTTGCAGCACCCCTCACCTCAGCGCCCGTGCCCGCATCCGACCAGCAGCGCCCATGCAGACACTTGTGCAGCAACGCAGCAGCGTGTCCGCATTGCCTGTCTAGGCCAGAATGCCCCTCCCTGGGCTGGCCTCTTTCCTTCATGGAAAGTGCAGCCCCTGTGTGTGTCTGCCTGGGCCTGGCTGGGGAAGTTTCCAGTAGCTTCTAGTCAGGCCTCAGTCTCTGCGCCCAGGCCCACCTCTGCAGTTAAGGGCCTGGGCCCTTTTCGGTTGGGCACATATAGGTAGCCTCCCAGGCTCCAATGGTTGCCGACATTCTCATTGGCTCGCGGAGATTGTGTGACGACAATGCTGCTTTCTCATTCGTCCGTGGCCACTGCGTGATGTGTCTGCCTCACGCTGCGGTGCCCAGGGCGCAACCACCCGGCCCTGGGCTCAACAGTACAGCGCAGTCCTTGTTTTCTGGAAAGAGCCTGGAGGCTCACGTTTCCCTGCAACCGACTGGCGTGCTGCAACTGTCTGTGTACCCACATATGGAAAATGTCGAAAATAGGCTTCTTGTGGATATTCAGGCCCGCCTTCACTGAGGGCGGGCACGGGGCTTGCTCGGGCCCACAGCCCAGAACACTTGCATGTCTGTTAGGACCCCGTGAGGGCTCAGTCCTCGCACTAATATAAACAGGTCCTGTGGCCAAGGCTTTGACTACAAAACGGAACACAAAGATGATACTGGGGCCATTACCCTGCCCAAAGCCATGTTGTCTGTCAAGGATGCTCTCAGAAATATTCTATGTCGCAATTTAGCCAATTGATTGTCCACTGTCCAGATTGGAAGAAGGGAATGCAGAAAGGAAACAAAAGGAAATGATTGGAATTTGATTTTTTGGACTCGCACAGTTAAAAAAAAAAGTAAAAAACCAAAAGAAATAGCAGTTCAGGGCATGTGCTACCTAGATAGGATTATTTTTTATTTCGCGAATTGATTGTCGGTCGTTCAGAATTTCAGATCCGTCCCTCTTTTTTTTTCCTTTTTTTTTTTTTTCCTTTTTTTTTTTTTGACCCGTCATGTTGACAGCTGGTATTGGGTTTGGCTCAGGTGTGAGCTTATTGCAAAGCCCCCAGAATTTACACTGCATCACTTACCACAACAACTCCACACTTCATCCCACCAATCTCCAACCACGAGATGCAAATCAACACGAGATGAGAACACTTTAGCGGAAATTTCTTCGAAATTAAAAGTCTTATACGACAAGTTGCTTGGAGGCTCGAAGTCTTATAGAACAAGTTGTCTGTATGCACACACAGGTATGAAGCTGCGCCTCTCACTCTCTAAGCAACCCTCAGGCCTCAACCTCTCTCTAAACGTCTTCCTCTCTTGTCAGTGTCTGAACCATTGTATATCATCCTTGATCTGGGCCCTTGGATCGCTCCAGAAGGACCATACATCTTCTAGATATACTTTAAAACGATCAATATTTAAGAGGGGTGTATAGCACCCTGCGCCCTTGACTACTGGCTACGATGACTCTCAATTACACTTGATGCTTGGTACCACACCAGGGCTTTCGGCAGCCAGCTGGAATGGAAATTGGCATATTGCGTTGACTTAAAAAAAAAAAAAAAAATAAGCTATATTTTCTCTCAATCATACCTCACGCTATAAGCCTCATACTGGCTAGTACCTTCCTATGTCCAAGGGTCTACCTGCATTCATTTCTAGCTACTCGACAGCGTAGTATTCTAAGGGTTATGGGTCTTTGGGACACTTTCCTCCCAGTTTATCCAAGCCTATCTATCCCCTCAGGTTTGAGCCTATCCCCTTCAGGGCTGAACCTAACCCCTAGTGCGGATGGAAGGGAGCATAGCTTATCCCTACCAGGACCCACTAGGGGAGACGGGGGGAGGGGGGGCAACTGTCTCAGGTGGTGAACCCAAAGTGCGGCCCAGCGGCCATGGGGAGCCGAATGGATGATGTGGGGAATAGAACCGACGACCTCCTGAATACCACTTACGTGCTCAACCAACTGAGCTAGGCCGCTGGCATTGACTTCTTCTTTATTCTTGTTTACCATTTATCGATTTATGTGTGCCATCCTTGTGCAGGGACCATGTCAATTTTCTCTGCATTGTCGTTAACTTTGACGGATGTCAGGAAGACGTTGACATTCCCAACTGTGGACTTTTCGGGTACTGGTACCCGCCTTTACTGGGCACCCCACTTATGTGCTCAAACAACTGAGCTAGGCCGCTGGCACTGACTGTTTCTTTTTTTTTTTTTACCATTTCTCGATTTATGTGTGCCATCCTTGCACAGGGACCATGCTAATTTTGTCTACAGTGCCGGTAACTTCAACGGGTGTCCAGTAGTTTCTCTGACTTCTGTGGGACTGACCAGCCCACTGGGGCTGACTGGGCAATAGACAGGACTGACTGGACTGATGGGCCCACTGGGTCCTACAGGGCCAATGGACTTAATCTAACTGGCCTATCTGGTTGATGGGTACTATGGGACATGGGACTGGTGCTGGGACTCAGATACCGAGACGTATGAAGTCCTTTCATTGGGCCTCGCTCCACTACTCTCGACTCGTGAAAAAGTTGTGAGTGCTTCTAGAGCTGTCAGAGGTCTAGAACTTGTGAAAAGGAGGCATCGCTCCGCTTACTCCAGACTCAAGAACTATAGAAGCACTCAAGAATTCCTCAGGGCTACATGACAGCCCTTCTACAGCGCTAGATGACAGCGCCAGCTCGTTCTGATGGTCGGGGCAGGAGGCACACTCGTGAAAAAAAAAGGTCGGAGCGGGGTTAGGAGGGAAGACGCTAGAAAACGCAAGCGTTGCAGGCTGTGAACTCTATACAAATGGAGAGTGAGTGCCCTTCTTGAGCCATTTCTGACAGCTCTCTCTCGAAGGAAGAGTGTTGTCATGAGTTCCAGTCTAGAGTAAGTGGAGCGAGGCATTACTTTCGAAACTTCGAGAGTCTAGAGTAGTGGAGTGAGGCCCATTTTCCTGCCCATACCGGTAGTGGAACATCAATGAACTTTTATTGGACTGCAATCAGGGCTGGTTGTGGAATTTATCTGACTGCATTTCCGTCCAAAGATCAGTCGAAAAAGTCCTAGTGTGAGTGTGCCCTCAGTGCATACTCACAATATACTTTTGGTGGTTTACGTGCCCTCAAGTACCAGCACGTTTGATTGAGAAAGTCCTGGCGGTCCTTTGGGGACGTCCATTAAAATTGGAACGGTACAGAGAAGATTACCGTGGTGCCTGTGTACGGATGGCACACATAAAGCAAGAAATAGTCCTAAACAGAAAAAGGAAAAGTATTGCGAGTATGCCCTCCGAAGTGCTTTTGTCTTTTTGCCTATTCTCCTTCTCCCCTGTCCCTTCGTGGGGAGCTACACCTGCTGGAAAGCGGGTCCAGCATCCGCTGAGGTACAATGATAAATCGGATGATCAGCACAAACTAGGAACCTGGCACGTGCTGGAAACCAGGTCCAGTGTCCCATTGAGTACCCCACACAGAGCTGAGCGGGCAAAATTGGCAGGGGTCTGCTGATACCCAGCTTAATTTGGTGGTCGCTGTTAAAAAAAAAAGGAATGTGCTCCGAAATGTATTAGTGGGGAGCAGATCTTAAATTTAGAAAATCAAGAAACTCATGTCAACGACTTTGTTCACTTCACGTCCAAGTCTACTGCAAAACTACAGGGCTGACAAGGTCTCATTTCCCCACTCACCAGAATGTGCATTTGTCTACCAGTGTCTACGAAGATTTTTGGTCAGAAGGATGAATCTGAGTGAGCAGACCTTAACTCCAATCTCATTGCTGCCTCCACATATGGTGGCTTTCACAGATCCTTCAAGTTGTTCTTTTTCTTTCTTTCTTTCTTTCTTTCTCTCAACAAGTGTGGTAATGGCACTATTCGAAACTGTAAAGGCAAAAAACAACAACACGAATGGGCGAAAAGAGTGGCCGCCGGACTCGAAAGGGCAATGGAAGTGCCACGTGCCGCCAATAGTAATTTTTCATTCGTTTTCTTTCCCCACCGGAGACCACAGCCGACCCCTGTAGTTATGACACCCGGCCTGGACCATGGCGCGCAGTGCTTTCATCGCCCTTTCGGGTTTGGCGGTTGCTTTTGCCCGTTCGTGTTTTTTTTGCCCTTTCAAACTTCTCTTGTGACTCAAACGGACTTACCTCTTCTTTCTTTCTTTCTTTTCTTTTTTTTACTTCTTTTTTTCGCAGCTGCTTGATCTGATCGAAGGCAGTGCTCGGCATAATTCAATGCCATTGTTGTCTGTGTGCTCAAAGCGGGCAGCAGCAACGGGCCCCCCTGTAATCCACGATAAGTTCTCTCCCCGTTTTGCACCCAAACCAAGGGCTTCTCTCCACCACTCATTGTTCGTTCGCCAAATTTTGCAGTGGTGAGTAGTGACAACTGGTGGAAAGAGGTTTTCACGGTGTGGTGGATGTGGTGTCCCCCTCACTCGCCGCTCATGTGTCCTACTTGTTGTGGACTTTGTCCTGTCTGGAGCAGGTGTTTGACACTCCAATAAAATCAAGGCGCGTTTCATGGAGGGTCATTTCAGGCCAAGAAAAAAAGGGTTTCCTCGGGCCTCCCTCAACTTCTCACCAGATGCGCAAAAGACAAAAATTATGGCTGTGCATCTTTCCATGCTCTAGTGGACGATGCATTCTCATTTTGCACATTTGTTGAGTAGTGGACCGAGGCCCCTTGGCAGCCACTTGACGCTGGACCCGTTTTCCAGCAGGTGCTGCTCCCCACCAATTGATGGGGCCGTTTGTTAAAAAAATAAAAATGAAAATAATTCTGATTCTTTTCACCACAATCTCCTGTGGCGAGCAGTGGAATCATGCGGCATCCGCCAAACTTGGCGGCTGGCAAGTAATGGAAGGAGGTTTGGCAAGTAATGGAAGGAGGCCCCAGAGTGCCTACAGGCCCTTGTGAGATGGCATGTGCTTAGTAGGGCTGTGGTCAGACACGTCCATGGCTGGCTGGAATTATGGTCCCAGGAAAGTCCTGGTGCGAGTATGCCCTGAATGTACTTGTTCTTTTTTTGTGTGTAGGTTCTTTAGATGAAGGCTTTTGTTTTAGGCAAATGGCAAAGCTGTCCACTCCTTTTGTCTATTGCTTCCGTCTCTGTCTTTTGGTCTATTGCTTCCGTCTCTTGTCTTTTTGTCTATTGCTTCCGTCCCTTGTCTTTTTGTCTATTGCTTCCGTCTCTTGTCTTTTGTCCATTGCTTCCGTCTCTTTTTTCCCGTAGCCATGACCTGTACTCTGTAGACATCATCTTCTGGTTCCTCTTCTCTCCTTTTTTTTCTGTTTCAATTTGACCGGCAAATGACAGAATTGTCCCTGCTATGTTGTTTTTTTATGGAATGTCCATCCATCGAGCAGGTATTTCTTTGCGGAGATATCGATCGGCACTCCTCCACAAAATTTCTCGGTTATCGTCGACACAGGTAGCTCATTGACGTACGTGCCATGCGCATCGTGTGGTCACTGTGGAAATCATGTTGTAAGTGAACCTTTTCCTGCACCTGCCTCACCCTCTTCTCCCCTCCCC